CTGAAATTCTTTATGCAAACTTCCATCTACTATTAAAATGTGGAGCACTGTAGAATAGTCATGAAAATGCCATTAGAGGGGTACAAGATTCCTGAAACTTAGTGCTGCTTTAAAATGCATGCCCTTTCACATTCTGGTTGCAATTATAATTCTACCTTTAAAGGAAAGTATATGTCTTGTGCGAGCTTCCTAAAAAAATAATAACAGCATTTGATTTATTTCAGTACTGTGACACTTTGAACTAGCCCAGGTTCAGAAGTTCAGAACCAACACAGAGGCAACAAAAATTCATTCCAAATTCATCTTTGACAACATTTATAAACTTGGGCTCTGTGTGGCTGTGTCAACTAGCTTATCTCTGGTTAAGGTTCATGCTGTATTTCCTACAATTTGTGAACACGCTGCTCCAGCCACCACCTTTGTCTCATAAACACTGAAGGATCTGGTAAAACAGTCACCAGTTTACAAGAACAAGAAAAGAAGCAGCAGCACTTAGCAGCATGCACTCATCCTTATCTCAAACGCTCACTATGCCTGCACACCCCACCGAGGGCCTGGGAAAGCTTTGGGCCAAGTTGATTAATGACACATTTCACTAAACCTGAAAAGTAAAGACAGAACCAGCCGAAAGAGAACCCCATGTTACAGTACTTAAGATCACTGGGTGGAGACAGTACAGATCTGCCATCCTCGGGGACTGACTATGGTCTCCAGCTACCATACTCCACGCACTGAGCTTTGGCAGGCACCCGGCGCTTGGGCAAGGTCTGCATTTATTGCTGGACTTTGGCACAACACGTTTGTGCCCTGGGACGAGTTAGCTGGGTGGAGATGAAGCAGGTCGCTCTGCTTCTATTGTGTCATTAGAATGACATTTGATGTTAATAGCATTATAGTAATCAGGTGCCCTGGTTTCTTGACTCAGAAATCACATATTTAAAAGATGAACTGACTCAGGAATTGCCCCCCTCCCCCCCAAAAAAAATGACGAGTGGCTTCAGTTACAAATTTCAGTGTTGGTTAGATTAGAGAACTGAAAATTATGCAAAATAAACTTGATAGGAATAGTTGCTATGGTAAAATAATTTTTCTTGTTTTATTTTTTTGGGGGGCAGAGGTGGTGGGGGGCAAAGGGCAGTTGGGACAGTACGTGGTGGAGATCGTACCCCTGCAGTATTGCACTTTTCTTCCAGAGCATGAATCTGATTGCTTTGAACAGTTTTAAATGTGGAATTAAGTCAGTTCTAAAATTGCTTGAAACTGTGATTGAGTGCATGATTATAAAAGGAAATAAAATAGGGCCCTCCCTGGTGGCAGCGGGTTAAAGCGCTGCACTAAGAAGCTAAAGCCACTTCC